ATGCGTTCTTCAGCTTTCTCGGTCGGCGTGCCTAAGAAGAAAGATTGTCGCGCATACTAATCATCCGCTCGGCATTCATTGCTGGTGCTGGTCAGAGTCTCCCACTCATGGGCTGTTTTTCCCCTTCTCTGCTTATGTTTGGGTGCTTTGTTGCCGGTGTGGTTATTTGTCCCATTTCTGGTCAGCGCGGAGCGGATTGCCGTAGCTCCAGCCCCTGTGATACAGTTTATCATCCGAGAAAATGGCGAAGAGCCTCGCTGCTGGCCGAGAAAGAATGCAAGACATTGTTCCGTCGAGTGCTTAATAGCAGTGAGGAGCGACGTCCATCGGTCGACCGAGTAATGCCGCTTAGGAAAAAAGGCTAAGCTTATAAACTGAGCGACCGAGATAATTTGCCCCTCTTTCGGCCCTGTAGAATCTTGAGCTTTTGCATCCCCCTGGCTCACCATTGTTGGCCAAAACTTTGAGTCTTCCTACTCCGACTCTTCTCTGGCACGTAATTTGTGTTCCCCTTTTCTCCGGTCAAGTGCGACGACATTCATCCAGAATGAAGTCTTGTTTTTGGAAGATTCGGTCGCAGGAGCATTCCAGTGTCGGCTCAAAGCTTGGCTTTTTTTTTGTATTCTTATCTGAAGGTCTGGATTTCTTCCTCCAGTTTTCTCCTCCGTCACCTTTTCCGATTTCGACTTTTACAAGTCTTTGCTTCAGTTTCTCAAGAGCTACCGCCTCGATCGGCACAGTGCACAGCTGATGTGAACTGAAGTCGCTTGTCTTCTCGGGCGTTTGGTGCAGCTTCCGGTATTTTTCCTCTTTTCCCCAAAAATTACCGCTGAGTTATATACCTATATGGGACTCCGGCGAGTGCGATGACGATCCGGACGACAGGTACCCGTTGCAAGCGAAATGAAGGTGAGGTGCCAATTGTCAGAGTTTTTTTTTCAACTTTCTTCCTTGAGCTCCGCCCCCCGCGCGAATCCCTTCTTTCGCGGGTTCCCATATGAACGATATACAGGAACCAATCGAAAGATGAAGAGAGAAAAACGAAAACGACGTTTGACGTTCATAATCATCGTCCCAGAGCGATCCTGTTTGCTTTCTCCTCAGACTTCCACCAGCAGCTCTGTCGTTTGATCACGTGTGTTCACTCCGATCCCATCGAGCCGGAGTCGGAAATTACATTTGAATCAGCTGGTCTTGACATCGGAACTTGACTGTAGAGATTCGATTCATTACCCTGCTCGGTGCCTATGGCTGGCGGCGTTCGGTGTTTGGATTGCAAAACTCATCACAGTGAGCTTAGGTATTGAACACGCGCCAATGATCCCCTTGTGAGCCGAGTCGGGTACTGGCATGAGGGTTGGATTTTTGTCCTGAGTATGACTCGAAGGGGGTCTAGCCATTCTTGGGAACTTGAGGTCCGTTCGCGTAGTTCATTAACATAGTACGGAACATTATTTGCGTCGTCTTGCGAATTCTACCGTCAGAAGCTGCCAGTTTCTTCGAGGCATCCTCTGCTACGCTTGGTGAAAGTGTTGGCTCCGTGGTGACCACGCTTTGATGAATTTCCGTTACAGAGGTGGCCATGTGTCCTTGACGAAGACGTCACGGAGATGACGTCCAACGTCAAGTCTATCCTCTTGGGTCGCCATCGGAAATATAGCGTTGCTCGTAATCAGAAAAATCTGACACGATCCAACGGAACCAGTGATTCGACAGTAAGTATTGGGATTTCGAGACGTGATCATGGGCTAACGTGTGGGAGAATTACACACAGCGTGAGCGATACGGTGTATTTTTGAATAATTCAAGAGAGGGCTCTTCGCGAGCTGTCAAGGAGTTTTCGCTTGTTCTCAGTGAAATGATCGCTCACGCCGTTTTGGCGTCGAAAATTCCCAGCAAACAAAAATTTACTGCAGTGCAGCCACGTGATGAAAGCTGAGCAGACCTGCCGTCGCGGTGGTCCTCGACGTTTTCTTGTTTGGACAGTCGTGAGAGTTTCGAGTGGTACGACTGCTCGCTCGCGGACGCGCTGAAAGGAGACTCGAGATTTTTGTACCTTTGTAGTCGCTCGTCGCCTAGTTTGATAATTCCGCTCCCTAGAGATTGAGGCGGAATTTTCGAGTAGAGTTCCTGTGGACTGCCCATTGCAAGGGCATTCATGTCCTGCTTCCAATTTTTATAAATCGATCCCATGGCTCTCTCGAGTAGTTCCCTCATCTGTGACTGATTCCTGAGGTTTGACGGATGTCCGATGGTCGCGATCCCCGAAAGTGGAATTACGAAAATAGAAGTTCGATCATCCTTCGGCAATTCGGGTGAATTCCTGGAGTGCCTGGCGGGTTTCTGCTTCGTCGAAAACGATAATGAATGGAACGGCCTCCACGTGACGACACGCTGGACTTACCCCGACGTCAAGTACCCATTTGCGTCCCCACGTACGAGCTATCGTAGTCCGCCCTTGCGGCGTACAGGGTCTATGAAGCCGGACCGCGTATCCCTTGTGAAGATATTGGGGGCATAACCAAAATTCGAGTCAACCGACAACGGCGGAGGAAGGGTGATGAGCTCCGCGGAAAAATTGCATGCGTAGAGGAGCTCGTGTTCGTTTTCCTCCTGTCGCGTGTGCTGCCACTTCCCTTCATCCTGCTTGAGATTTCTTTCCGGTGGCCGTGTCGCGGGATGGAGGCGAACGAGCATCGTCCATCGCCATGAGTCATGAGGTCGACTATTGGAATGCTCATTGGATTTTGCTCAATGCGATGACAGGGTCCCCCGCACAGAAAAAGCGATTTGAGACGCTTTCTGGGGATCGTTCTCTCACTGATCACGACTCTTCGTCTTCGCCATTATTGTATTCCTGCCCCCACTCCCACTCCACCTGGAATCTACCCCTATCTTATAGCGTCTCTTTCCCGACACGGTTTGCGAATCCCCAGCATACGATATATGGAGCTGACTGGATTTGCCGTCTCTCTGGAATTGCGATCCTAACATATTGACCTCTCATCCGAGATAACGGGTTCGGGTCAAGCGATAAAACTGTGGGGGTAGCATGACATTCGTCGCCGATGCCGGAACCGCCTTTCAGATCATTTCTCTATAAAATTTCACAAGGGGAGCCCGGTCTCAGTTCGTTCCATCTCATGCTACCTCGTTCAGTCCTGCCCTTCCGAACCCTGAGGTCTGTGGCAGACGGAGATTCGTAGAGACTTTGAATCGGTTTCTGGGCTTTCGAGATGTTCTCTATGGTGACGGGTCGGCTGCGAGATGCCTCCCCACGAGATTCGTCCCGAGCGGGTGGTATGTAGGTGTCAGAAATATAGAACGCTTAGAGCGGAAAGAGATCAGGAACATCGACGCGGTATTTGAGATAATGAGCAGCTTTTGTTTTCGCCTTTCGGACGTTCCAGCGAGTCGAGTTCCATTCTCGGCATAATATGACCTGTGAAGCCCTCTTCTCATGCAAAACAAACGCATAGAAATGAGACCATTCTGGAGCTGTGATTGCGTCCGATATTGAGGCCTGTATCGGCGCACAGGGCCCAACCCAGTAAAATTATCATTTTTAAAATATCGTCATCGAGAAGAAGGCGAAGCACCTTGAAATCGCTGACCTGGAGGCAGAAAGACCTGAACGAAATAGAAAAGATTCATTATACTCCACATCTTCTATGTCGGAAACTATTAGCAGACGTCGACAAGGACCTTGGTCGTAAGGCAAGGAGGGGGTATCGATAAGGATCCGAAAAATCCAGATCACGGCTAGCTACTGCAAGTCCGGAGGTCTTTGCCTCGAAGGCTCCGCACATTTTTCTGGTGCCCGAGTGAGAAAATGTGATGTTTTTTTTTCGAATCGACTGGAGAATGGACCTGATGTCCCTCCATCGATTATCTGAACCTTTCCGCTGACGCTCATCTTGATATCGTCTTCGAAGCCGTGCTATAGGGTCGAGTTGTGCGTAAGTGCCCTGCGCCCCCTCCATCATTATTTTCGGACATTGCCAGGGATTCGGAATATTGCTCGTTCATCGGATCATCAGTGATGTGATAGACATTCGGGATTTCTCTCACCGTCGGAGCGTCCCTCCCGGACTGAGATAACCCTAAGCAAAATCGTGCGGCGAGGAGAGAACATTATTCACGGATCGTGGGACGGTCGCAGACGGTACACGGGCACCGACACCTGGCATCTGTGTCCCTCCGATCACTCTCTTCCGATATCGGTCTCTCCAGAGATCCTGGCATCGCTATCGATTCGGAATTCTTCTTGTTTATTGCCCCAGTCATGTTTTTCGGAGGCTTTTCCTCGCTCAGACACTATCGGGCGGTGGTTGAGAAGCGGCCCGATGTATCAGCTCTGGGGTAACGCCCGCGGAGTGGTTTTATTTTTAGCAAGATTCTTCCCGTCCGTTTTTAATTGAGCCGCAAACGTTGAGCTCCTTGTTAATGAGATAATACACGCCGGCTCAGCCAAACTAAAAATGTCTACGACTACTGTGAGAAACTGACTTCAGGGCTTTCACTCCTCGCCACGACGAGCTGCATGGGAAAACTGATTCGGCTCGAGTTAGTAATCTCTTGCTTACGCGCATTCTCTCGACAGTGTCAAGCTGTTATTTAGGAAGCAAGCTCTGTCTTTCCAATAAATTATGTCCTCCACTTGCTGCGTTCTCACAAAACGACATCTCGCGAGTTTCCGTCACGAGTTTCTCCAGGGCTAGGTCCTGCGCGGCATCTTATTCGTTGATACCTGCCACGAGCTCCTCTCCGAAATTCGGCGGACGTATTGCGGTAAATCCGGCTTGGACAGCTCCCGTTAGACTCCATGCTCGGATTGCCGGGCACCATCCGAGATCAATGTCCCCGACTCGACAGAATGTTGAGGTCGCAATCAGAGTGTGGAATTCTCGGGAAAACGTCTTGGGGAAGCGAAGGTCCTCTCATTAGCCACTCGAATCCATATGTCGCGCCGTACTTGACCTCGAACCATTCTATTCCAGCCACACGACGCCTGGGTCACGGTGCACAATGTGAAATCGTACAAAGACGATGCCATTCTCGATCAAGACGACCTTATTGGAGACGTGTGTGATGACCGGGAGAACCTGATCGCCTTATTCGCCGAACAAAGTTCTCCCGTGAGTTCGCAGCATCACACTGGCGATGGGACGAGCGCGAGCTCTGTCGGAACGGAGAGTCCCGATCTCTTCATCGAGAATCATGCCGACTCCTGTACGACCGAGAAGCTATCGTTAGGTGAGTGCAGAGTAGCTGAATAATTATCTCCGAGAGACGAGGAACGCGAACGGTACCCTTAGGTTGAGGTTTGGCATTCTCGCCATATTTTCGAGCTGGCGAAGAGATTCAATAGGTTTGCCCGGCTCCGGGGCGCAGGGTTCGCGACGGATCTTTCGTGGATTGCTCCTTTCACTCGAAGCTCAGACTAACTCATCTACTCATTTTCCGCCCCGAGCATTCGTTCCACGCTCGAATCTCCGCTTTTCATCCCGACTCGATGCTGGAAGCCCTCGATTAAAGTCTAATCCCAGATCATTCGATGCGCTCTTAAAGACTCAGACATTCGTGCACCGCGCATGACTTTGAGCGCCGCCAAGTTATCGACGGGGATTCGACGGCTGGGACGACTTCCCTGTCTTATCGATGCCGGAGTAAGGTGTCGGAAACCCTTTCGGCTCTCCTTGGAGAATGGTACCTCTAAACATATTCATTCTGTGAACCGGAGAACCGCCGTATGAGAATAGAGGAGAACACCGAATTCCTCGACTATTGGTTGATCCGACGACAGGGATCGCTCCTGGAGGTTCCCGACGCTTTGATCGCCTCCTTCCTTCCCGCCGTGCGCTCGGTGTCTTCTGCCGCACTTCTTTGTGTTTCTTCCCCCGGCTCAAATCTAGGTCGAAGCTTCTGGTGTGGGTTATTCGCGAAAAGATCGAAGGGCGGCTCAAAGAATGAGTGACCCACGTCCACACAACGCACAAAAATAAGGAAAATCACGGAAACGATGATGAGATTTCCGGTAGTCGAAGACCGGCGAGAGTCGAATGCGTATACGAAGCCCATTGAAGTCAGATTCGGCGCCGATAATCGCACTCGATTTCTCTTCATATGATCCGGGGACTGCATTGTTTTCATGGGAGGGTCCGTCGCATCGTCCCGATCAGATTCCAGTCGCGTGGAAGAAGGGTCTCTGTGACATGCCACATGTATTGATCGCTGCACGGCTCCCCGCTAGAAGTCTGGTGCGAAGCTCCGAAGAAGCTGCGACCATGTGGTCAAGTTCAGCAACGGGAGGAGCGTATAGAACCGATTGTTGGAAGCGATCGAATTCTTCTTCATCCAAAACGATATTTTCCATTTCTTGTCATCATCGAGTATCGATCCATGAATCATCGGTATTGTGTTTATCGAAGCTTATTCCAAGCGCTTGCGCACACGCTGTGGTAATCCGTGTAAGGCATGCCACGCTCTACATAAAGATGCTTGACTCACCTGCACAATGACCCGGCATATCTCTAGTCAGTGGCTCGCCAAGTCATCTTTCGAGAATTCGTCTTAGTCTAGTCGAGGTACCGATGGGGAGTGAGCATGTCGATAGGAAGCGTGCTCGATCCCCGGCTCTTGGAATTACACATAAAGGTCGTGAATCCTCCTCCATCCTCTAACGTGTCCTTCCCGAACGCAGGGATGTCTACGTTGCATGTTCGGCGAGGCAGCGAGCCAGCTCTCTTGAACGGGACTGCTCTACCCGCAGGATTGATGGCAGGCGAAAACGGTGTGGCCACTCTTGATCATCACGGCAAGAGATGGTCCGCAGCCGTCGTACCCGAAGAAGCTCTCAACAACCATCAGATCAGCAACCATCACCTTCATCATCACCAGCAAAACAACAACAACAACAGTAGCAGTTTTAGTACAATCTCAGCCACGGATGGCAACAACAACCGCAACAGTGATCAGCAGTCGATGAAGTACAGCGCTTCCAGCGGCAGCACCAACAACAACAATAATAATAGCAACATCAACAACGTTAGCAGCAATTCCAATATCAACCAAATGAACAACCGCTACCATCGTCGGCGGAGTCAGAGTCTGCATAGGGTGAGTGTGGATGTTCATTTTTTTTCGATCGAGGTATGGAAGTCCCAAAGTTTCCGCCGAAAATCGTGGAAAGTCCAGTCGTCACTCACATCCCCCTGGCCTAACGGTCGTTCGATGTTCATCCGAATTCTCCATCAGAGGCTTCCGAGCCACACGATGTCTTCTTCCTCGGATCTAATACATGATGACTTTTTAGGGGTCATTCTTTATTTTTTCTGCCTAGATTTTCTGCTCACGAATGCCAGAAGTAAGACACAATTTCGCACTGATGGTGCATTGTAAAAACAGAGGAGGAACTTCTTGGAAGTTTGCTGGCAGCTGGCCTTAAGCTCTCGCTTCCCAAGTAGCACAGACGACCCCCATGGATCACGATCGCCGAACATGGAGCCGATTCTTTCTGCCTTATCCGTAGTTTCGTACCAGAAAAGTCCGGGCCCTGATACAGAATTGTTCGAAAACGCGACAATTCAAGCGCCTTGCACGAGCAGCGAAATTCGCCATTTGCGTCTGCTCGTGATGCTTCGGGGTCTTTTCAAGGAGTTCTCGGAACATTTTTCGCTTGAATTCGGTGGGAAAAAATTGATACAGACGAGTTTTCCGAAGTTCGGACACAAGGCTTAGATTATTTTGTGAGTCTCCGCGGTCTGGAGAATCACGCCATTCCTTCAGTCGGAGCGGAAGAAGAGAATGTGACGAAAAAATTGGAAAGTGAACGGCGCTCCACATCGGGCAACTGTCAACGAAGTTCCAGATGGAAACTTTTGACGTCTCCATAGCGTTTCGTTAGTTGCCACGAAGCCCCATCGATGCTCTTGCAAAACGGGCTGTACTGCCGTCAAGCCGTTGCCCCGAATAGAACGAACTTCATATGCGAGTCTTGGCTCTCACTTGTCAATATAGGGGCGAGGTGTGAGGTGTTGATGATGACAACTGCGATTTTCTCCTTTCCATGATCTTGATAAATACGCGTTAAAAACGTCAATCTCCTTCCTACCTGCCTATATATTACTTTCTCGTTCCACGACGCCCGCTCTACCCGCGGCTATACAAACAAGACGAGGACGGTGGCGTCAACGACTGCTCCCAACCGAAAGATGGATACGATAGATGGCTTTCTAAGAAACAATACGTGAATTGCAGGATTCAGCCGGCCGCATCGATGACTCGGACGAAGATGAAGTCGTTTCGCGAAGACCCCAAAGCAATTTCAGTCGTAGTGCCAATCGTCGCTCAATGCTGGCAAGTGCCTACGAATGGTACGAGGCGGCAGATCGTACGCTGGCCGGCGTAGACACGCCTTCGAGCCCCGCCGCATCGCATGAGCGACACGTGTCGGGAGCGAGCGATCCGGGTCGAGAAAATGTGGTAATCTTGCCCAGCGAGGACGAACCTCTTGGAATACACGTAGTTCCCGAGCAGAACCAAAACGGCCTCGAGGGTCTGGGTCTAGTTATCCAGGGTATCGAGCCCGGCTCGCGGGTAGATCGCGACGGCCGGCTTCAGATAGGCGATCGCATCGTAGAAGTAAATGGCAAATCGCTCCTGCAACTGTCGTTCACTGAGGCGCAAGCGGTTTTCCGTTCGACGTTGAAGGATCCTCAAATAATTATTAAAGTCGCTGGGAAATCTTTGTCGCTACCGGCATCTCCTATCTCGAAAGCAGCGCCGGCCATTCCGTCGAGGAGCAGAGACGAGACCGCTGTTCAGAGCAAGGACAGTTCGTTGGAGAGCGCTCCGTCCCCTGGCAAACGAGAAATGGTGGTCGGCGTCACTCCCGGCAGGATCGCGGCTCTCAACGCGGCCAATACTAGAAAGATCGGCAAGAAGGTCAACATAGAGTTGGTGAAAGGAGAAGAGGGACTCGGCTTCAGTTTAACGACGAGAGACAACCTCTCGGGGGGATTGGCTCCAATCTATATAAAGAGCATTCTTCCCCGAGGCGCTGCCATTCATGACGGGAGACTGAGGTCGGGAGACCGACTGCTCGAAGTCAATGGTGTTGAGATTACGGGAAAAACCCAGCCGGACGTTGTCGGCATGCTGAGAGCAATCCCTTCTGGGAATACTGTGCATCTCGTAGTTTCCAGACAAGAGTGCCTGGAGCAGAACCTCCCAAGGGAAATCGTGAGTTGTCCAATCTTTCCCTCAATGCTCTCGAGATTATATCAACCGTTATCATGATGATATCTCACTCCGTGATCCTTCGCCTCCCTCACGGATAGTTGGGCCCGGGTGTAGCTTCTTCCATCATGATATGCTCAATTGATTTTCTTGATTTTTCAGCCGCCGGATAAAGTAGACGCCCCTCCAGAGGAAGTGGGAATCTACCCTTGGAAGGAGCGGCACATCATTGCGTTAGACATCTTACCCACCGATACCGGGTCAGCTGGGTTGGGCATCTCTGTGAAAGGCAAAACCTCGACGAACAACAACCTGTCGCAAGACATGGGTCTGTTCATCAAGTCTGTCATTAACGGAGGAGCAGCTTCCAAGGACGGCCGATTAAAACCCAACGACCAGCTGCTCTCGATCAACGGGGAGAGCCTTCTCGGCAAAACGAATTCGGAGGCGATGGATACGTTGCGACACTCAATGTTCAAGATGGACGGCCCGTACATCAAGCTAACCGTCGCTCGAAGGCTTCCAAGTGCTGATTCCGAAGAAAACCTCAAATTCGAGGAAGGATTCCTCTCCACAAGTTCTGGGAGCAGTTCCATAATGGACTCGAAAGAAAACGTCAGCCAGCCACCGTACAATGGGAACGTCACACCTCCGCATGATCGTGATCGCAGGAACGAGGTGTACGGCTCCATCAACAAACGGAACCCCGTCATCGAGAAGCTGATGGGTTCTCCGGGGCAGGTCGACGTTTCCTCGGTCCTAGATAGCCCTGGAACTCCGATCGGTCAAGCCGGCTTGCAACAAGTAATCTACGGTAGGAGCAACATCAGGCCCACGCCTGTGAGCAGCAGTCCTCCAGACCTAACGCCGAATAACTCGACCGGAGCTCTAGAGAAGAATGGTGTTTTACTCAATGACGACTACAACGCCAACGTCACTAACGACGACGGGGGTTCCGAATCCGCGCTGAACACGAGCGAGTGAGTTATACGTGACCTCATCCCTTCCGAGAATCCCGACTGTTGATTTCATTGACTTTATATCTCCGTACATTAAGGAGGGCGAACCCTGGATAAATTCAAATTCAGCGAATATGATACTAACATCCTTCCTTCTGCACAGTATGTCCTTGGCCATCGATGGAGCGTTTTCGAGAGACGGATTCGGACGACAGTCGATGTCTGAGAAGCGACACGCACACCTAGACGCCAAGTCAACCGACACTTATAAGAAAAATAAGGAGAATCGAATGATGCGACAGCAGCAAGGTGGCAATTATCGCTTGGAGCAATCTAGAAGCGGGGGAGATCTTCGTCAGCGATCGAGTAAGTGCCTGTGATTGGGATAGCCAGGAATCCGCCAATTTCCTCAACGAAGTCCGAACCTCGAGCCTCCTCCCGGGAAGGCTTCCACTTTGGGGGAACCGTCGCGCAGGAATCCTCATGATGCTCCCTCATTTTCCAGTGTCACAAGGGGCGCCCAACAGCACAACGCTGTACCGCTCAAACTCGATGGACTCGATCAGTCGCGGGAATTACTTGATGAAAGCGAATAGCGTGGCCTCACCGCAGACTGCGCAAGGAAGCAACAAGGAGAACAGAAAACCAAGTCCTGACTGTGAGTTGAGACAGAGTCTCTCTCTGTTTTGTGGTGACTGACTGCTGGTATCCCAAGTGACCTCCATCTCGACGATTGAAGTCAGGGCTCTGACCTTCAGCGGTGTTACCTATTTCTTTCGGCTGGCCTATCATGAATCGGTCAAGTGCTTGCGGCGCTGTCATCGATTTTTCGAAAAGAACTTCTCATGGGAGCACGGCAGTCGGAACCCCAGTAGCGTTCCTGAACGACTCCAGCGTGGTGATGGTCATGAGCCGATTCTCTGTTTTGGTGTAATCAAATCCTAACCATCTGGTGCCCTCTCTAAACTAACTACTCCTCCTGTAGTCGATTATCAACGACCTTTACCTATGGTGCCAAGGACTCCAATGCTCTTCCCGGTGCAGATGTTTTATCCAGCGTGCTGCAGTATGTAATCGTTCGAAAAAAAATTGCTGTAGCTTCCTTCCTGCATGACGCTTGTCTCTCTGAACGTTCCCGCTGCGAATCTCCGGAGGCTTCTCTATGGTAGAATCGTTTGCTGACCCCCGTTCCCTGCGATCGTCGCGCCCGGAAAATTCACGGAGCCGTGACTTGGATAATCCGTCCCGAGTTCTAGACTCGCGGTCGCGCTGCATGTGGGGTTGACCGATCGTGAACCTAATGATGAATTCTCTCGCGTAACACCGTCCTAACTCTTAGCAGCTGCGAAGTACCAGCCCAATTCACCAAACGCCTGTCCTTACCATACAGCTATGGCCAACGGTGAATCGCCCGGAACGGAGTCTTCAACGGTATCGTACGACGGCGTGAAACCTTCTCTGCGATGTCTACCGCTCTCTATGCAACGGAGTTCGAGTCTCGAAAGCTTGAGCCAACCTCAAAAGCGGGGCAACCCCAGCTTCAGACAAGCCGTTGATAAGAGTCTGCCTGCCGCATGGGATGGGTCGACGCCGCCGACGAAGAGCTTCAAACGTGTACAACGAGGTGAGGAAGGCCAAGATCGCTTCTTCTCCATTTATTGGGGAAGTCCTGTAAAGAACTTCGTCGGGAATGTTTAAACTCCAGTTACTGTGGAGTACATTTTCCGTGTCTCATGTGTGTCCTTGCACGATGCTGACTGCGAAACTTGCTCGTTTCAGTGGATGAAGACCTTTCTCCCGATGCGGTGCAGACCCCATTGAGGGGAGCCATCCCTCTCGACTCCTTCTCGCCCCTATCCCCTGATGAGAAACCCCGCAAGAAGGGTTTTTTCCGGGGCATGTTCCGTTTCGGGAAGAACAGGAAAACCATCCCGGAGCCCGGTGGCAGCAAGCACTCGATGGAAGCTGAGCGGAGGAGGTTATTTGTCGAAGAGCAGAAAAAAGCGCTCTTGCCTAGCCAATGCAGTTCAACAACTCAAGGACCCCCCTCGCATCGAGTTCTGCACCCAACTCATTGGGAGAGGGTGAGTCATCATCTGCCCGAGCTTCACAGCAGATGAGAGTGAGGAGTCCCGCCAGAGATGTGAATTTCACCTGTCCGCGCCTGATTCTGATCGTATTTTCAGACCCAGGTAGCGGCTACGCGAAGTCAGAACAGTTCTTGTCGGCTAACGTCAGCTGACTACGGATCGTCTCCGAACCAAAACGGTCTTCCGTTAGTGATGGCCAACGGTCTGCAAACCCATGGGCCCCCTCCAATGAGCACTCAGCCGCGGAGTCAAAGACTTCCCCAGCAGCTGGAGGAGTGGTATCACGGGAAACTCCAGTTGCAGCATCAACAGTACCAACAACAGTTTGACCCCGTAAGTTCTCCCTTTCTCAGGAACGGAGAAAGTAGAGCCTAAACATAAAATCGTCTCTTGCTTGAGCGAAATGAGCTTCAGAGAGATTCGAGCCAACATCAGGAGCTTCGAAATATTTCAGTATGGCCAACATAATGGAAGACCGTTGCCACCTATCCCGGCTTACAATTTGAATCAGTTTCACGCTCAACCGAGTCAATCGCAATTCCGAGCCGATGATCTGGGGCACTTCAGTCGCAGTATAAGCTTGAGGAGTAATCGGTCATCGCACGTGAGTAACATACTGGGACGATAAGGGAATACACACCCCACTGCCAAGAAATTATCTTTCTCGATTCATGCGGGAGCGACGTCAAAATCGCGAAGGGACTCTGATTGAAGAAATCCTCCTGAATCCATGTTCAGAGTGACTTTTGCAATAACCCAGTTCTCTTATGCCCTTCAGTCGCATCTCGACTACGGAATCGTGACGCGAGGGATGAAGCAATACACTGTATACCGGGAGATCGAACGGCCGGGGTCGAGAGTGGGGGTTGTAGACCCGACGTCGCCTCCTGGTCAGCAGCAGCAGAAGCATCATCCGCAAAGTCATAACCGACAGTTCCCCCATTACGCGAATGTGAACCAGCTTCAACAGCAAAGCATGCATCTCGTTCACCAGCGACAAAGCAGCGAACCGGCGCAACACGTAAGTCTCTAGGAATCACGGATGTCGAAAGGCAAACACGAGAAATTAATATTCGGATGATCAACGGATTTTCTCGCTGAGAACCCCCAACTGGAAGTCCGATCCGCTCTCTCCGAGAGTTTGACAGGGGATTCCCAGCTGATTCTCGAGACTAACAATGAGCTATATCTACCTACTGCGCAGATGAAACAAAGACCACCTGCGAACTACGGAGGCGACAAAGGTCGAATGCAACCGAATCTGATGGCTTATCCTCCGGTTGCGCAAAGCTGCAATCCTGCCCACGTGTACGCGACAATGGCTCGGCCGACCGCGGCGCCTCGAACTTCAATGGGGAAGATTCCCCCGGGATCGAAAGTGTAGCCGGCTCCTTCTTCATACGTTTAAGATGGAAATACGAAGCGTTGCCGCTGTTCCGCTCATGTACATATAAGAACCACCGACTCGAAGCGTCGGAGACCTCCTGCTAGAGTAACGACTAGCCGGCATTGGGTCTTCGGCCTCGCCTATTTATTGTTGGCCACTTTCTCAAGTGTTGATTAGACAACTTCCATTTACAATTATCATCACGCATATATTTATGACGGAGGCGCAAGACGACACGAACGCTGGACCGATTCGCGGCGATGATGAAGCTGACCGGACTCGGACGAACGGATGGACGAGCGGACGATTGTATCTCTCTGTATATACCGTATGTCCGCCGATCGGTGTGCATGAGCTCGTGCGATCTCTCTGTGTACTTAAGTAGCATGCTCAGCCACTGATTCAGATGAACAAAAAAGTCCTTCGTATTTTTTGTGAAACCACGTCATCGTCGTACGGACTTGCCACCTCACGATCACTCAGATCGAAAAGGCAGCGTCCGATGTCGATGCTGAATATGATGTTGGACATGGATTGTATATACGAAAATGACTCACTCAGTATGTAGCTTCCAGTCTGTACAGGATTCTACCGATTTCGTATTTCCTCCAACAATGTAATAATGATGTAGGAAGGTCACTGCGTGAGCATAGTCGGAGCCCATTGCAAATAAATGAATAGCCGACGAGGTCTAAATGGAGTAGATTAGCGAAAATAAATGAGGAAGTCGACTCTCCACGAGATATCGATAGCATTTTCTTCCGAAGAACATTACGGACAGCGGGCTGCGGCGACGACATCCACGTTTTTGACTTGCCGTAAGGGAAGAGAGGAATAGATCTCTCAATGGGAGCGGGGAAGTCAGCTCTATGGGTCTGTTTTAGGCCAAGCGACGGTGTTTCCGCTGTGCCAGCGAGAACAAGAAGAAGAAGGAGTCGGACGTCTCTCCCGAGTGTCTCTGAGGCTAAGAGAAGAACGTGAACCGACCCTGTCGACCGCCTCGGCGACTTCGGTTGTCGACAGCAGACGTGATGTGTCTTGTCAGTGATCCACTTTAGTTGATTGTATGTTTCTAGTCTTTGAGAGTGTATGTGCGAGACTCCGAGTTTCGCTGCCCGTGATTTTGCCGGCTGATTGTATACGTTGCTTAACGGTGATGGCAGTCGGAAGGTAACTGCGTACTTACGACCCGAATAGACTCACGAGTCAAGTCCGCAGACGGTAGTTGGCTTATACGCTGAGCTAGTTACGACAATGAGATTCTTCTCGAAAGCACTTAAAAGTCGTAAGTTGCCTCGGAGCCCTCGGAGAACAGGGAAGAAACGACCGTAGAGAACCGCCGCGCCGTCGAGGGCAAAATATCTCGGCGAAATATCTCTCCTCTGGTCCTCTGCCCTAAGTCATCGAAGGGATTTCCCAAGCCTACTAAACAAGTCAATCGATCGGACAGTCACTTAGACCGGAAGTCGAACCGTCTCGAGACAAAGCGTCTCCCGCCTCGGGCGCGACGGAAGTTCCCACAGTACCCGCTCCCCCGGTCAGTCTCTTTTTGGCCCTCACTCCCACAGGCAAAAGTCTCCAAGACGCGAAATTCGCCCCCTCCCCTACCCCCTTGAAGACTTGCTGGGCGATGTTGGGAAATGGCCTTGGGAGGACCAGGGACTCGATGTATCTCAAGTTGCAGCCCTTTTCAGGTTTGTTCTTAAATTCGGAACGGAGACTAATCGAGGGGGCTTTCGACGTTGCGGGAGAGTGGAGGGAACCCGGTCTCATAGAGAACCGTGTAAGAGATCTCTTCCTTGTTAAATAGCACAGATGGCGATTTTGGTCCGGCAGCTTCGGAGGCTCAGCATGTCTTTCAGCGCGCGCGCTGCTGGGAGAGCGAGCGGAGAGCAAGGCTTCCAGCTTTCAACTTCGGAAGCCAAGTATTATTGACACTCCGACGCTCTCTACTGCTTCAAAGGACTTCATGCTTTATTTAGGAGAAGTGCCGCTCCTTCATTCCTGGAAACTCGCAAGTCCAGTCTTCGGCTTGGGATACTGACATTTGTGAGTGATATGATTCATTTCCGCATCGGCCTCGCGCAGAGTCCTTCACCAAAATTTTCACTCACGCAGTCTGTGGATCACCTCATAGGCCTGAAGCGGAAGCCGACTCGTCTTCTGAGTCGAAGAGGCCGTAAGTGACACATTCTCCTCAAACCGAGCAATCTCAGCCGACTAAGCCCCGTGTACCCGAGATCATGTGATCTTTTCGCGTTGATTCTCGCGATCACAGATGGTACCATGCTTGCCCTCTAGAAGGAACGTATTTTCGAGAGAGAAGAAACTCGGGAAGAACGCGAAGGGTTGAAGTGTCGGGAAGCTTCTTCTCAAGACGTCACAGACGTCTCGGTACATCAATGGATATGCACGGTCTCTCATATACTGGAAACGAAAGCGTCGCTGATCGATTCGCGGTCTTTTTTCAATGCGTTCCGATCTTCCTCTTCTTTCTTAGCTCAAGTATGAGGTTGCGCTTATTTCGGCTCTGCTCTCCCCTGATCAGACAACCACGAAACGCTTGTTCGGAGGAGGATGTACATGATGAATTGAACATGAAGATGAGGAGACATACATGGTCCAACCGTTTTTGCCGCCATTGGAACGGTACCGACTTCTTCACGCAAGCGTGGGATCAAGAGTCATAGCAGAGGCAGGGAAGATGCGCCAAACCATCGTTGCGGTAGCTGAGAAAGGAGGGGGAGCCCACAATCATCCTGATCGATTGCTTGAAGCAAACATGATGGTGATGATCGAGAAGCGGCAGCAGAGTGGTACAGACACAGTCGATGATGATGAAATGGTCTCAAGGACTCCGTGTGAAGGAGCTAAACGTTAACGCCAGACGGGATCGTGCGATTGTTTGCTGGAACTGATATCAAATATGAAATGGAAAGAGGCCTGAACATGGAAGTAACATATTCCATCCGCTGAAGAACGGCCTTGCTCTTTTCTTTAGCATTCGATTTGCTCATCCTAGGGTTTCCGTGTCTCGTTGTTTTCCGAGTTTTCCTCGGTTCGCCATCTGATAGATTGAACGCCGTTTGGGGTTCGTGGTGTCTTCTTCGCCGCCCACGATCCCTTCCTCTTCCACCTCCTGATTTCTTCTCGATCAGCCGGCATACTCGCTACCGTCTGCCTGACACCTCAGGCTGGGAGGCTGTAGCGACTAGCTCATGGTAGCGCGCCGAACTGTAGAGGCAGGCGCAAGTCAGACCCAGCGAATCCCTTGGTCTGTGGGAGGTGAGGAGAAGAGAGCCCGATGATCGTTCCTGCAACGATCAGCTCCTCGGGGTGTCCCGTGTCGATGGAAGCTTCATCCGAGAACGCAAGATTTCATTCAGAAAAAATCAATCCGCGGGGAACTCGGTTGAAAAGGAGCTTCGGGGCGAAAGCTGGGATACCCAGGACGGGCGAGAGGCACCCACTGATATTCTTCCCGTGTCGCTTTCCGAGCAGACCTGTCAGAAAGACGATGCTACTCTATGAGAAGTCCTCGGAAAAAATCGGTCTATGTAATAGCTGAATACGCTTTCCCTGGTGATTCTCATGATCATGATGATGGTATAAGTCGGTGCTGACGACACGCATCTCTCTTCATCTCTTAGGAGATTTTCTTTTTTTTTTTCGCGAATCTAATGTTGCGAGGAGATATCTGTGGGCATTCGAGGCATCCCGACATGCTGTGAAGTCCCGACCGATTCATTCCCTTGATGGACCATCGGCATCGTGAATCTGAAAATCGTATGAGGCGATTCCTCAGAAGGGGCGAAATCCATTCCGAGCGCGAACGTCCCGATATTTGCGGCAATTTTCCTTCGAAAGAATCTACATCAATGAATAAGACCAGCGACACTCGCTCGCTGGGGCCGATATCGATTCGATGTCCACGCGTTCTTGTGGAATCTCGAGTCTTTTCCGCCAGCTGTCGCTTCGGGTTCGCGAGGATGTCCTAGACCGACTACACGTGCCACCATGTGCGCGACGTACGTTGCGCTGAGCCCCAGGCAAAATCTCGAAAAAAAGAAGGGGAATCCAGCTAAGAGGTTAGTAAATCCAGCCAAGAGGCGAGACTATAGTTTTCCAGCGGATGAAAGGAGGAGCAGTCCGCGATCATTGAGAATTCTGGCATCGTCGACGTTGAGACGCCTTCCAGAGGTGTAGGTGGTCCCCCTTTGTCTAAATTCTCGAACATTAGTCGAGGGGCGGCATGCTCGCCGAACGCGACCGGGAGTCGAAGGTTCCCGATTATCGCTCCGGTTGCCGCAGACGGGCAGCGCGCCAATAGGTTAGTCAATATAGTTACGCATCATTAGGCATACAGTATTCATCCTAATAGAGCCGCATGTTTCACTACAGCGGCGTACTCTCAGGTGCATGCAAGATCCACAGCAACGGATCGATTTGGCGGTTCGGCATCGAGGCATGTGCCCGTTGTGAGCGTGTCGACGCATGAGATCAAAGCGGGGACCTGCGTCCTCACCGGTCCTCGACTCGTCGGCGTGAGTGTCAAATGTCTACCAATCAAAACCGTTAAATCCATCCATTGGAGAACACTGGGCTAGTCGTCCGTGATGGACGTCCCGTGTCGAGCGCCTGACCCTCTTTCCTGTCTCGGATCGATTTTGCCGTCGAAAGCTGTGACATCAAGTTATGCAAAATCTAATGCAGGAATAAAGGTAAACAAAAAGCCGAACGGAAGAAGTTATGTCTGTGGTTGCTACCTCGCGACAATCATTAAATCGATCGTTCGTAGATACGTATACCCCGAATTCATTTTTTAACTGTGAACAGTCTTGCGCGAAACCTCCTCCGGCTCGAAAGCCAGACTTTACCGTATTAGAAAAGGGAACTCCACAACCATTTGCTCCCCGCGCTTATTTCCGAATCCCCAATGAGCCGTTGGTAACTCTCGGCCAGAATCCCAAGCGATCTTTTCATGTTCTAAGCGCTTGATCGAAGACCTCAGACCATGGTTCTAAGATATCACAGACATTTCGGACTCTAGCGTACTGCTGGGTCGACTTGAGCCAACACGCTCCAGCCATTATCGGCAGCTCCGGGTGTTCAGAGGTCTGGAAGGAACGAGCGAGATTTCGGAATGTTCGGTACGGGGGATGCCGTTCGCGGCGATACGGCAGAAACGGTGAACTTGCTTCGTGGGCAGTGACTGATAATCATTCGAGATGCCTTGCGGAGTCAAGCTGAACCAAAGGCGGGCTGAAACCATTTCAATGATGGGGTCTGAAGATGATGATGTCTTGCGGG